CAGTATCAGCAGCAGGAAATTCAAATTGCAGCTTCCAATGGCGCGGGATCCAGCTTCCGCACTGAGATTTTATCTGTTCTTATTATAGTATCAGGATTGCATTTCCAGTTGGTTTCTCTCAGCTTAGTTCATTCCTAGGTCAGCAGAGTACATCTCCCCTCACGTAGGACTCCTCACATGGCACTGCTCCTGGATTCTAAGCTGGTAATCTCAGAGAGCCTCCATGGCTGCTGTTATTTGTCTGCCATGTTCTCCCAGAAACTCCAAAGCTATCATTCTTAAGAATACTCACACCTGTGATCTCTGTGCCAGGACCTCTCCTCAGGGACGCATGGCACCCCCTTCCTTTGTAGGAAAGGAGGACAGTTTCGAGGACACACTCCTGGTCAGGACTGGCAGATAGATTTTACACACATGCCCCACCACAAGACTCTCAAATATCTTCTCACCTTTGTTTGTACCTTTTCAGGATGAATAGAAGCCTTTCCCACAACCAGGGAAACTGCTGATGTAGTTACCAAAGTCATATTACAAGAAATCATTCCAAGGTTTGGTCTACCTCAGAGTATTCAGTCAGATAATGGTCCTGCCTTTATTTCTCAGATCACTCAACAAGTATCCTCGAGCTTATGCATCACCTGGCACCTACACATCCCATACCATCCACAATCCTCAAGAAAAGTTAGAAAAGGCAAATGGCCTCATAAAGACACACCTTACAAAACTCACTTTAGAACTACATCAACCTTGGCCTCAACTTTTGCCCTTAGCCTTAGCCAAGCTCAGGGCACTTCCCCGGGCTCCTACTTTCCTAAGTCCTTTTGAACTTATGTATGGCAGGCCATTCTTACTCCACAATCTTCCTACTCCCCAAAATCTCCCTCCCCTGGCTGACTATGTCCCAGTCCTCTCTTTCCTCCGACACCTGTTGCGACAACATGCTGATCTCTGCCTTCCGCTGATCTCTGGCTTCTCCTCTGGAGAAGCCAAACCAGATCCTCCCATATCCCCAGGAGATCTAATTTATCTCAAATGTTCTAAATCCACAGGACTACAACCAAGGTGGAGGGGCCCCTATCTGGTCTACTTGGCTACCCCTACAGCGGTCAAAGTTGCTGAACTCCCATCCTGGTTTCACATCATTCAGGCTAAGAGGTGCCCTCCCAGCCCTAAATCTGATCATTCTGAGTGGTCACCTCATCTTCTGTCACCCACCCATCTCCGTTTCATGAAGGCCTCGCAGCCACAGTTAACAGGCTAAGTCATGTTTTGTTATCCACTTTGGTTCCTAATTTCTTACATTCTATTAATGATCATTTCTACAGCAGGACTCTTGACAGTCTTTCCCAAAGACTGCCACATCATGCATAAGATAATCTTCATGATGTTCTATGCGATGACTGTCGTAATTCTTTCTACCCTCAGCTGTCTGGTTAAGCGTGACATCCCTGAAAGCCTAAGCTCTTACCTTCCCTATACTGGTACAGCCACCACCTTCCCTACTCCCCCTATTTTTTTCCAGTTCAACTCCTGGACCAGAGACAAGTTTTACACACCTACCCTCTTAAGTTTATGCTTTCAGATGGGGGAGTAATCACCTCTCATAACATTACTTCTTCTAATCTCACACTTAATTTTCAGAATTCTACCTCACCGTGACAATGATCCTATCTCAACGTCATCCTGATATAATGACATGTCTAAAATCAAAGGCACCTTTCCCTCTACCTCACCTGGGTCCTTAAATATGACAGTGCTATATCTCCTCATAACATCATGTCTCTTTGTTTTTCCAGTCTAACATACATGTATTCACCAGTGAAGTTGTCCTGGCTAAAACACCTGGCACCAGAGTCTACCTGGGCATCAAGCGTCACCCCATCGACTCCCCTAGACTCCAGTACAGCGCCCCCTGCCAGCAGGAAATAGTTTAAAAAATCTTCCCCCCTTTTCATAATAATAATCATAAGACGAGATATGAAAGGGTTTCAGCCCAGACAGGACTCTGTAGCCAGAAAAGCCTCAACTGGAACCAGGAAGCTCCTATCTCTCCCACCCCTCGGAATTTACCTGTGATGTCATCTTCCCCGCCCCTGGGAACTTACCTGTGGCGCCAAACCTAGGACCAATGGGCTACCTGTGCATCCCTGATGCCCCCTTAAGGTTCCACCCCAAACCGAGGCTGCTTACATACCCCCGACGCCTCGTGTCCGCCAGAGAGAAAGCCAGACTCCAGCAGTCGGGGGTGCTGGTTCTCTCTCTCCGTGTTCTCAGAATAAAGGCCTCTTTTGTTTTATACTTCTCATCTTTTGGAAATAATCCTATCAGTTCTGCTGAGAGAAACTCAGGTAATCTAGAAACACGTGCCTTGGGGCCTGGGTGGAACAAAGGGAGGGCTCCGAACCTCACCCCCTTGGTAAGTCTGTGGAAATAGAGCTTCGATATTTTAGTCAGCAGATAACAAAACCAGTCTTTGTACTTGGAACTTTCCAAGGATTTTTCTTTAATGCTGAAAAAAATAAGCTTCTACCTCTACTGCCTTAAAAAATTGATCACCACAGTCTTTTATTATCAGGATAAATGGAAAGGATCCTGTTTCCACAAGCAGTGGACCCTTGACTTACAAACTCATTCATTCTGAGGGCTGGTTGTAACTCAAACTGTTTGTAAGTCAAGATTATTTTTCCCATGAGAAGGAACAGAAATACCCATAATGCATTCTGAACCTCCCAAAGCACCCCTTAACTAACCCTTTCATAATAAAAATGGTTGTATAATGTGTGTAATGTACCAGAAATACCAATTGTTTTCCCAGTGTATTCACCAGGAAGATATAAAATGTGCCTAATTTACCAGAAACAACAGTTTCATACTGTACTCACCTTCAAGTTGACATCTTTGGCTGGCGGAAAGGGAGGATGAAGTGGGAGGTGGGCATTGTTTGGAAGCAGAGTTCTTCCACAGCATCAGGAATCTTCTCTCGGGTGTCTTCTCTCTCTTGGGAGAGTCTGCAGCCTACTAGGCCTTGCTTCTGGCTCATCAGGTCTCAGCCTTTTCAGAGCTAAAAACTGGCCTGTGTCTTTCTTTTCTTTTTGGTCTGGAGTATGAAATGACCTTGTCATTAATAAGTAAATAAGTGATTGGCTTTTTCTCTGTCTGGTGGGTCTTCTCTACAAATGTTTAAAGCTCTGTGCATTTTTTCAGGATTTCCCTTATTTTAGAAGAACTTTGTTGAACTGCTTGTCAATGCCCCCCACCCCCATCGTTCAGAAAGCTCCTCACTGCTGTTCTCTGCTGGCAGCCAGAAGTTGGTGCAGTTCCTCCATAGGCAGTTCCCCGAGTGTTCCTCCACCAGTTCCTCGACGTCACCTCTGCAAGCCTGTGGGCTCTGCTGTCATGACAGTGTGGTCTACCACAGGGTCGCTTGAAGGCTCAGGCTCCTCTGTGTACCCTTCAGAGTCTCTTCTGTGTAATTTTAGCCTACAAGTGGTTCCAGGCAGATGTCAGGGTCCTTAGATACACAGTGGCCCAGGATTTCTCAACTATCCCCACACTGGAAAGGATGTAATTTTCCTTCCAGAACTCTTTAAAGGTTACACCTGTATCTGAGACCACCTGGAAGCACTGCAGGAGCAGCTTCTTGGTGGATCGCTTCTGAAAGCTCGCTATAACCTGCTGGTCCGTAGGCTGCAGTGGAGGAGTTGTATTAGGTGGGAGGAACTTGACTGAGAGCCATGGGAATTCTTCAGCTAGTTCCTCTTCCAGATCTCATGGGTGAGCAGGAGCATTGTCACGATAAGTAGAGCCTTAAATGCTAAACCTCTGTCCCCTAGATATTGCTTAGCAGTAGGACAGAAAGCCTCCCTGATCTGCTCAAGAGAAAGTACTCCTGTTACCCAGGCTTCTGTGTTAGGTCTCCACATGACCCCTAGCCAATTCTTCATGACTATGTTTTCTGAACACCCTTGGGGTCTCAGGGTAATCAACCAAGAGAGGCTTTATCCTGAGGCGCTTGCATTGGCATGTAGCAGTAAGGCTAGCCTGTCCTTCGTAGGCTTATGGCCTGGCATTTTTCTTCTCTTCCTGAATAATGTACTGTATGTTCTCCTGGGCATCGCTTCCAGAAGAGGCCAGTTTCATCACAGTTGAAAACTTGATGAGAGCAAAAGTCATTTTTCTGTGTTGTCGTTTTGAAGTGGTGTGTGTAGTTTTCAGCCGCCCTTTTATCAGCACTGGCTGCACGATGATGCCTAGTTATGCTGTAGACCCCAGTTCTCGTTTTAAAATTGTGAAATCACCCCTTACTGACACAAAATGTTTCACCATTATCACTCATGAATGGATTATCCTTTGTGAAATCTGCATTTATAGCTAGCCCCAGCTTTTTCACCAATTATAGGCTCAGGCAATATAACTGGCCATCTGCCTTTCATTTATGCACACTGATAGCCTTCTGCCTTGTCTAACACTCTTGATTGTGACTTAACGTAACACCTTTTTTTGGGGGTGGGTTGGGGTCCGGGGAATTGAACTCAGGGCCTCACACTTGCCAGGTAGGCACTGCACCACTGAGCTAAGTCCCCAGCCTGAGTGACATTTTTAGCAACACTAGCTTCCTTATAGAGATCTTTTCTCTGTAAGATTGTGGAGATGGCGAATTTTGACATGCTGTGCATATTGGTGAAATTGTTTACACAAAAGCCACTCTCATATTTCTCCACAATTTCCTTCTTCTTTTCAATTGTGATTGCTTTTTTTCCCCTTCCCTTCTTTACTTAGCTTCTTTACTTTTTCTTTTGCGGGCTACTTGAAAGCAGTAATTGTAGTGATTATACAAAGCACTGACTGAAATCAGCCCCATGAGTCTCTGTCCCTTGGCAGAGCCACCCTCAGAAGAATCCCAGACCTGGCTACTCTCTTTCCATAAGCCCCATGATGTGCTATGGGAAACTTCCAAATGACCGGAGCCGCGGGAGACAGGAGGCCAGACTCGAGCAGGATCAGCTCTCAAACTTTATTGCGTACAGCGAACCGGACCTAACAAGGTCCGCCACCCTCAACGTTGGTTCCTCTTCCGCCCGTTGGGGGCAGGAACAACCTCTTATAAGGGGAAGCAGTATCCAATCACAGAGAAGCGCGTCTAACAAGCTGATAGGCTAGCGTCACGGGTAACTGGGCAGACATGACAATTTGGCGGGCTTGTTCAGGCCGGGAAGAACCCGGAAGCAAGAAATGGGCGCCATCTCAGGCGGCTTCCCACATCTCCCCCTTTTTTATTTATTAAAATAGGATGGTCTGTGCGTCCCTCCAAGGTGTCTATGACCTTGTTGCTGTTAGACACCTAGGAGTGGGCCTACCTTGTAGGCCAAGGCATGAGAGAATGTAGAGGTCTATACCCTGCTGTGCATCACCCTGTTTTGTGCATATCCTTGCGCCAGGACCATGCTCAAGGAGAGTGGTTCATTTTTTCGCAGGGCCAGGCTTTTGTGAACCGAACCTGGATGCATATAGACATTCATTCCTGCCTTCCCCCCAACCTTTGGGGCGGATGGCACTGCAGTACCCTTGGTCTCGCATCTCAATGCCAATAATTTGACTCCAGGAGGGACCCCTGGCCTTAAAGGCCATATATATCTGAGTGGAGCCTGTCTTAGGTTGACCGGGAGGACGTCTCCCGTCTTACCCGTCATTGGCTTGCCCACTCAGCTTTTATAACTGATGTTCTGCAATGTGAAGGAGATATGCGGCGGCCTGCTGGCCTGATGGGCCACCTGCTGCCATTTGCATGGCTGCCATAGCTGTGATCTTAACCTGCTGCTGAGTTTGTATGAGGCAATCTAACAAGCATTTAATAACCACAAGCCCCACTAGGAAGGCCACGGCAATCAGGATCCAAGTAGTCAGGTTGGGCCAGGAGAACCAGGAGGTGACGCGTTCCCACGAACTGGCTATAACACTGCCTAAAGTTGATAAATCGAACCTGACTGGACCTAGTTGGATACCGTCCATATTGTCAAGTTCCTGACCGACTATGAGGGACAAATTGTGAAACTTAGGTAGGTAGGTGTCTTGCAGCCAAGCTGTCATATTTTTAACAGTGTTGGTCAAACTTGTGCGAACAGGGGTGATTAATAGGAACCTACAGAATAGAAAAAGCTCCAAACCAGACATTTTAGTTTGTAGATGGTCTCGGGCGCTGAGCGTCGGTCCCAGAAGGGTCGAGTTGACTTGTGTCCGTGGGCTTATCCTCCTGTGCTTTATCAGGAACTGGTGGGGAGTTTACTGCTCGCGTCAATCTTTCCGGGACCCACAGCGGTTCGCAGCCTGGTTCCTGTGGGAAGACACAAACCGCACCTCGGGTCCAGCTAATCACTGGATCCGGGCCCATCCATTGTCCTGTAAGGACATCTTTCCATCTAACCAGCCCTTTGTCGGTTGGGGACGGATTGCTATGTTCCGTGGCAGGGGAATGATTATGGTAAAGAGTGCCAATGATATTCTTCCTTTGGGCGTTAGGCCGTGGCCACCCAATTCACGGCACAGGCGAGTCCACTCTTCTAAGGACCTATTTTTGTTAGTTCTTAGGACATCACGGCACTCCTTAGTGCACTGTTCAAAAATCAATTGTTTTATGAGAGGGTGAGCCCAGCATCTGGAAAAATCCTGTTAGCGGCCTCAAGCATGCGGGCCACAAAGTCTGAAAATGGCTCTCCCTGCCCTTGTATAATTTTTGTAAGATGACCCGTATGTTCTCCCTTTCCAGCCAGCCGTCTCCAGGCCTGGAGGCCACAGCGGCTAATTTGTTCATAAACCTGGCGAGGGTATTGAGTTTGATCTTCCTCAAAGGCTCCTCGCCCTAATAGCATATCCCTGTTCCACTCTCTCTGGTTATTTTCCCTGTTGGCTGCCGCCTGCTCTACACAGAATTCCTCATTCCAGGACTTCCAATCTAAATATTGTCCGGGGGAGAGGCAGGCGCGTGCCAGCTGGGTCCAATCTCCAGGAGTTAAAAGCAGACCTGCCAATGCCTCTAAAAGCGCCACGGTAAATGGCGCATTGGGCCCATAAGCTGAAACTGCGTCCTTGATAGTTTTAAGTTGTTTAATTTCTAAGGGCTCATAATATCCTCCTCCTCCCCTGCCTCCTACTTGTACCGGGAATGCATGGAGACCGGAACACTCAAAAGGAAGCCGCGACCATACCCTCTGGTGGAAGGAACGTCCTCCTCCCTCCCCAGATGGGGGTGCAGAAGGCAACCCAGGAAGTAGCTCTCCCTCTAACCAGGGCAGTGCCATAGGTTGTGGTGGCAGCCCAGGGAGCAACTCCTCTTCCGGCCACGGCAGTGCAGTGGGGCCTGGCGCCCTGAAAGGGGCGATCGTGGGTCGCGAACTTGCCAAAGGGCGGAAGGGCTTAAGCTCCTCCCGTAAGGCGGAGTAGCTCGGGCAGGGTGGTGTTTGGTTCCCCTTTTTATCTTCCCGAGCCCTAAGTTCCTCTTTTAACTGTGTAGGAGGGTCATGCTTAGCAAAGACGACCTCCTCTTCTGAGCCTTCCGAATCCGAATCAGAATTAGAGCCCTGAGGGTCCTCCGGAGACCCACAATCGGCAGTGGCTCCGGGCTCCTCTGAGCATTCCGATCGAGCTCTATCAAAAGCCTGTCGGGCTGTATTAGCGAAGCGAAAGCAAAACAGATGCAAAGGGAAAAGAAAAGAAAAAAAAAACCCAGCGTCCACTCGTGTGGCGCTCAAAATCTGTTAGGTGCGTCCACCCAACCCAGGTGACCCAGTACTCACCCGGGAACCGCTGTATCTCACGTAGCTGATCAGGGTGAAGAGAAGAGGCGCTCGCGGCCTTCCGTTGTTATTGGGCCAGGTCCTCCGTCGTACCGCAGGCGACAGCAATCGCACCTCCCGGCCAAAGAGGCACGTCGCTGAGTCTTTTACCTTTTTCCCCGTACGGGCCACCAGATGACCGGAGCCGCGGGAGACAGGAGGCCAGACTCGAGCAGGATCAGCTCTCAAACTTTATTGCGTACAGCGAACCGGACCTAACAAGGTCCGCCACCCTCAACGTTGGTTCCTCTTCCGCCCGTTGGGGGCAGGAACAACCTCTTATAAGGGGAAGCAGTATCCAATCACAGAGAAGCGCGTCTAACAAGCTGATAGGCTAGCGTCACGGGTAACTGGGCAGACATGACAATTTGGCGGGCTTGTTCAGGCCGGGAAGAACCCGGAAGCAGGAAATGGGCGCCATCTCAGGCGGCTTCCCACATCCAAAGATCCCAGAGACCTCACCATTAGGCTTCAAAAATGGAAACATTTGACCCTGAGGAAAAAACAACTTACTTTCGATGGCGGTACTGTTTGGCTTCCACATCAACTCAGAAATGGTGAGAGATGAGCACAGAATGGCACAGAAAGTCTATAAATTATAATGCTCTTCTTCAGTTAGATCTTTCCCATAGAAGGCAAGGAAAGTGGGCTAAAGTCCCATCTGTCCAGGTTTTCATGGTTCTATCTGGAACCATCCTCTGCAAAGGCCCAAGAGACCCCTGAAGAAGAGGCTGAGATGGCTGATGATTCCTCAGGTCCTGCCTGTCTCTCAGGGAGATGTGGGTCTCCCTTCATGTTTCATGAAAACAGCCACACTGGGGGAGGCGTCTCCTGAGCCACCTCCTTCCATCCTCAGGTCAGTAAATCAGGGCCACCCTCTCAAGTGACTCAGAAACTCTACCATCTGCCACTCCCTAGAAAGACCCAGGACTCCTCAGACCCCTCCTCCTGCTCCTCAGATGGCTCCGAGCCCCACAGGACCCATGTGGAATAGAGTTTCCAGCTCACATCCTGCTCCTAAGAGATACCCAGGAGTACTCAAGTCCAGATTCCTCTTCCATGGCAGGTTTCCAAAAATGCAAGGAAGAGTCAGGCCAATTTTCAGGAGATCCTAATAGGTTTGGAGATGGGCTTCCATCTTCTTTTTTTAAACAAGCTGTAGCAAGTTATATCAATGAAGAATTTTGCATGGTTTATTTCTCCCCAGTGTGTACTTGCATGCTTCAAGTGATATCGGAATGACCTGGATCAGTGATCGCCAGTGTGCGTGCTCGGTAGTACTTTTCACGTGCTGTGCCCAGATCAATATTATGCCACTGTAGTGATGGACGCCAGCTTTGGCCAACATGGCATAGTACTCTTCAGAGTCTGCTTTTACCCCACTGTGCACTTTCCACTTTTCATGACGAGTCGGAGCCTGGAGCTGATGGACTCCAGAGGCTCTTTCATCTTCTCTGCAGCCACCATCTTGCTGCTTTAGGTGGGTGACTGTCCCAAACAAAGAGCAGCCACCAAGATGCCCGGGAAGCAAGAAAGTGGGGCTTCAGACTTGGACCCTTGTCTTTAACCTTGCATAGCAAGATGTCCAATTTGTCCACTTGCTGCACCCTAAATAAAAACATGAGGACTCCTAGAGGTGGCTGGGAGGTACGCAGATGAGCAGTGTGCTGTGGAAAGAGCAGAGAGTCGCCCCAGAGAGGGCGCTGTCCTCCCGGCAGAAGCAAACGGGAAGGACTGGAAATGAGGTCTAAAATAATTACTGCTCTTATGGGAATAAAAAGATGCATTAATAAACCTGTTAATTATGAAAAGGTGAGAGAGGTCATGCAGGGCAAAAAGGACAATCCAGCTGCCTCTCCTAGTCAATCAGTAGAAGCTTTCCATAAATTTATGAACTCAGTTCTGACTTCAGGGGAAGGTCAGGTACCAGTGGGACAGTGTTTCTCACTGTCAATTGGCCCCAGCTGTTTGGCACAAATTACAAAACCTTCAGATGAGTTCCCGGACCCCTGGGGCCCCATTGTGAAACTCAGCCTTTTCAATCGTGATCTAGAGGAGGATAAATAGGAGAGGAACCAAGAGCAAAGGCAGGCCAAAATGTACTGTCATAAGTGGCAGTACCTCAAGCACATCCAGGTTGTCCAAGGGAAACCCAGGACCAATCAAGGAAAGAGTTACGGTTTTAAACGCAAGGAATCTGGACACTGGGCATGCAACTATACGAGGCAGCCACTCGGGCCCTGCTCCATGTAGCAGGTGGCTGGTGTGAATGATTTATGGCACCGGGGGATTGACTGTGCCCACAGCTTACATGGGCACCTGTACTGAGACTCCTGCTTTTTACTGGGTAATCTTGCCAGGGCTGCATTCTCAGGCTCTTGGTAGCCTAATATCCCTTCGCAACACTTTCCTGTCCACAAAACACGTGGAAATAAAACTCCTAGAAAATGTCTCAAATAATAGCAAGGAAAAACACTGTCTTTTTGCTGGCTCAGTCATAGTACACTTTTAAAGAGAGAGACCAAGAAATATTCTGACCTGTTCCTTCTCATACTTGGCTACTGGCTCTTAAACCTTGTAGTAAGGCTTCAACAGATCCATCCTCAGATCATGATCCAGCCCATGACTCTCCTACAGCTTTCTCCCACTGGCCAGGCAGATTCTTCTCTCCTTCTCTCTCTTTCTTTCTCTCTGTCTCTCTCTCTCTCTCTCTCTGTCTCTCTCTCTCTGTCTCTGTGTGTGTGTGTGTGTGTGTGTGTGTGTGTGTGTGTGTGTGTGACTGAACTCACAACGTTGTGCTTGCCTGGCAAGCACTTGTGCCACTGAGCTAAAATCTTAGCCCTCTCCTTGTCTTCTGACAAATTCTTGCCAGCCCAGCCAGTGAGCCCAACATCCAGGGTAGTCAGAGAGCACAGGTCCCCCAGCAGCAGGTAGGGCCTGCAGGCCTTTTCAGCAGGAAGCAGCTGTAAGAAGAGGCCAGTGCTGCCTCAGCATCCCATGAAGAACTGGAGATTTCTGTCCCTCAGAGGGAACTGAGGTAGATTAGGGCTGGAGCAAACCTGCTGGGAGGAAGCTGTCAAAGTCTTAAAGAACTCGGTGCATGCACAGAACACAGGCTCCAGGATGCCCCTGAAGCGCCTGGGTCCTGCACACTGAACCAATCAGAAAAGCCCTCTTTGCAAGTCTTTATTTATATCCACAGGAAACCAAGCAAGTCTTCCATAGAGAGATTTAAACCTGGCTTCAGCTCCAGTGCATTTCTGATAGGACAATGTCCCAAAGGCTTATTTGCATGAGAAAGAAGTCAGTCCAGGAATTGCAGCTCCAAAAGCCCCCTTGCCCTTCTGCTGGAGCTGCCAGGAGTCTGACCCCAACTATGCTGTCCCTGCAGAGCGTGTGTCTCCACCCTTCAGTGAATGTGTACCTCACTCCCTTTTCTGTGTCTCACTCAGTTCTCTGTTCCCGACCCCGAGATCCTGGCGAGATTCCCCCGGGACGCACCTCCGGTACCAGTCAAATTCTACCTGCAATTTCACCACTTCCCTGACAACTTGTTTTCTTTCTGTTTTTATTGATCACAGACCATCTGATAGGTGATAGGCTGGTGACTTTTTGTAATTCATGTTCCTTCATTAAAATGGGTTTTTAAAAAAACTGACAACGTATTTGTTTGATTTCAAAAAAATGAGGCCCAAGCTGAATAAATAAGTGTTTCCCTGACAGGGTTGGGATACAGATTCAAAATTCCCCAAAGTCCCTGGTCCAGAGTGGTGAAAACTTGATTTCCCAGCAACCTCGCTGTTGCTGGGTTGAGTGCTGCAGGAGGACTGAATGGACTGAAAAGGCGCAGCGCCCGGACTCAGAGGCGGGCAGGCGCGCCCTCCAGTGGCCGTTCCTTGCTGGTGTCAGTGAATTAAAAAAGCCGGCCGAGGACACATTTCAGTACTGCAGTCACTGTTGACGGCCCAATCCAGTGCATTGGGGGCTTGGACTGGCTCCCGGCGCGGCTCTGTCCTTTGATGTCGGTATGCACTCTGCCTTCCTTCCTTCCCAATCATGCCATTTCCATAGCTGCCTTGCTTTTGTTCAACATTATTTTATTTATTTAAATTTTACATATTTATGGAGTACAGTATGTACTAATGCACAGTAAGAGCCTGGCATGCTGATGTCTGTCTGTAATCTCAGCTACTGAGGAGGCTGAGGCAGGAGGATCTTGAATTCGAGGCCAGTACACATATACAATGTAGAGCCATCAAATTGAAATATTTAGCAGTTGTAGCCCCTTAGTCATTTGTTTGTGCAGGGAACCTTCCAACTTCTCCCTTTTAGATGTTTATACAATATATGTGCTGTGAAAGACTAGAACTAGAACTTATTCTTCCTATCTATGTTATATGTGTTTAAGTGGAGGTCTTGTGTGTTGCCCAGGCTGGCCTTGAACTCAAGGTCCCCCGGCCTCACCCGCCCTCCCAAGTAACGAGCTTGCAGGCACACACCACCATGCCATGTTCTAACTGTGTTTCAGTGCCTGTTATCTAGATGTCTCCCCCCTCCCAGCCTTTAGGGACCATTGTTCTCTCTTCTATGAAATAATCTTTGTAGACATTATAGGATCTGTCTTTCTGTTCCTGCTTATTTTGACTAACATGATGCCCTTTAGTTCCATCTACACTGTCACAAATGGCAGGACCTCACCTTGTTCCTGGCTGAATAGCATTCAATCGCATACATACACCACATCATCTATCCATTCGTGTGTCGTGAACGCTTGTGTCGATCCCATATTTGGCTATTGTGAATGGTGCTGCCAGGAGCCCAGGAACACAGATGTCTCTTCAACATACTGATTTCATTTCCTTTCTATTTATCTCTTGAGTTTTACCTCCCGACACTACCTCTTTCCTAAATTAGCAGTTGAGAAGGACAATCCTCTTCATAGCATCCCTCAGCCTTGATGCCTACAATGAAAATGATAAAAGTCCTCTGGCTTTAGAGTTTCTGCAAAGACTGCCAGACTCAGGACAAGTGTAAAGGATTAAGAAATTCTCCTGAAAGCCCTGTTCCCAGATGTGGCCTTCAACTGGTCTCTTAGAGCCCGAAGGGGTGACATCTTGTCCCTTGGTCAGCAGCCTTCTCTGCACCTACAGTGCTGACCTCTCTTTGTAGGCTGTCCCCTTCCCAGCCCAGTGCTGAGTGGAGCTGGACTCAAGCCATGGCTGTGTGTGGGAGGACACAGCCAAGGAGGAGTAAGAGTCCACTACAGAAGCTGTGAGGTGGAAAGAGTAGTTCTTTTGTTTGTTTTGTTTTTGAGACTCCATCTTACCTTGTAATCAGGCTGGACTTGAACTCATGATGTGGCTTAAGCTGACAGAAAACTCCCGGAAATCCTCCTGCCTCTGCCTCCTGCTTGCTAGGATTATGGTATGTGTGATGATGCTCAGTTTGAAAGAGAGCTTCTTTGGAGTCAGACATACCTGGATGAAATGCCAGCCTTGCTCCTTGTAACCATAGCCATCTTGATCACGTTATTTTATCCCAAACTGCATCTATAAAGCGAGAGCACCTCCCTCAGAAGAGTCTTATGGAAAGTGAACCAGATCAAGTATGAAACAGCTTATCAGTTGTCCAGTTTGATGAGTCCCAGTCTCCTTTGCCCCTGGAGCCCCAAACCTCCTGCTTATCCTGAAGTCCCTGTGCGGCTCCCGGCTGAACCACGGCCTTGAAGGCGCTGCACAGCATGCACCCGTGGGAGGAGAATGAACGCTTTGTTCACGTTCGGGCGTGGGATGGTGCGGGAAGGTGTTTCCAAACCTTCCTAATTGATTCCTGACACTTTTCCCAGTTGCTCAAGCTAGCAATCCGGGAGGCACTCTTGGTTTCTCCTCTCAGAGCCACCATCTCTGAAGTTCTAAGTTCTGCTCTTCGCTCTGAAGAATGGCCCACATCCTTGTGGTTCTTGCTGTCACCTTTTGGGCTGCTTTGGTACAAGTCACTATTGTCTCTTTCCTGGAAAAGCAGGGTGGCTCCCCCTAGGGGGCAGGCTTCAGGATGGTCCCCAGGCAGCAGAGCAATGTGAGCAGAGCAGAGCGAGTCTCAGCAAGTCACCCTGCCGGGTGGAAGTCCTTGATGACTGTTCCACTGCCAAGGACGGCGCCTTACCTCCTCAGCGCGGCTTGGCTTCCTGTGAGGGCTCCTGGATACTTTTCCAGCTTCCTTTCTCTCCACTCCTGCAAACCCTGGTCCTGGGGGAGCAGTCCCTGTCCCAAGGATAACTCACCAGGGTTGGGGGGCTCCCTAGGGGGGAGGTTTAGTGCTAAACCCAGGACCGCCCTGGGCAAACTGGAATGCTTGAGCTGCAGGTCTGAATCTCTTAGTTCTTCTCAAGGGTGCCTCTCCCCTGCCCCGCCTCTCTTTCTGTTTGCTGCTAAGCATGAAGACTCCACTCTGAATTGCCGCTTGGATGTCTCTTCTGCAACTCAGCCTCGAGTGGCTCTTTTGTCCCTGCGATGAGCTTCTGCTGCTTGCAGCGAGCATTGTATTCCAGCAGCCACTCAACTTTCCCAGCATAAAAAGCCCATTGAGAAGCAGGACAGGTGTTTCCCTCACAACCCACACGCACGCTGTCTGATTTCATGTGTTCATCCTAGGCTCAACCAACCAGGAATCGCAAAGTTAGGAAGAGCCAGTTATGTTATTGCTGACGTGTGTGCTGTAGTGAGGTCTCTCTACAGGGTTACGGCTGTGCTGAACGGGGGGAGGGGGGTGCTTCTGTTCTTGTCACTGTTCCCTAAATAAAACAGCTGAAAAAACAATTCCCATAGCACCTACATTGTAGGAGCGATTCTAAAGTATCTGGAGCCGGTGTGGGTGCCACACGTCTGTAATTCCAGCATTTGAGAGGCTGAGGCCAAAGGATTGCCAGGAGCTCAAAGTCAGCCTGTGCTACAGAGTGAGTTCAAGGCCAGCCTGAATTACAGAGCAAGACTGTCTCAAAGAACCGAAAAATAAATAAAAGTATCGAGAAATGATTCAAAGTACAAGGGAGGGGCTAGGATATAGCTCAACAGTAGAGCCCAGAGCTTAGCAGCAAAAGACCTTGAATTCAATCCGAAGCACCAAAAGAAAACTAAAGTATATGAGCAGATATGGGCAAGCTATGTGCAAATAGTTTTGCTATTTGCATATAAGAGAATTGAGTGTCATTTGATTTATGAGGCCATGGTTGCGCTAAAACAAAACACTGAGGGCCGGCTGTGTTCCCAGAACAAAACTAAGCGCCAGCACACAGTAGGTATTTAAAGTTTTGCTGAGTTAATGAACAGCAGTATCTTTTTCACTTACCATCCAGCTCATGTCACTGTGTCCTGACCTATGGACAGGTAAGGGTCGCACAGAGAACCATCTGGAAGACAGAAGTCTATTCCACAAAGTTTGCACAAGTGTTTCCCATCCCACGTGTTCTTCTAGAACCTCGCAGAACCTCCTGAGTCTGTGTCCCTTCTTTTTGAAGATGGAAAGTTGGACGAATCTCTCTAGCTTGGGATGGTGGAAATGACCCTATGAGACTCCCAAGACTGAGACCTGAAAAGGGACATGGGTTCTACCTGGCCCACTCCCACTCTGTGAGAGCCCCAGGCCACAAGGAAGGGAGCAGAGCCTTAGTAGATGTTGTCTCCTTCCAGTCAGGGCCTGCCGCCATCTTGGAAGTACAGCATCTGGCCTTCTGTGGAGAAGGCCCAGACCACACCGGGTGGGCCAGCTTCCTGCAGAACCTTGTCCAAAACATTGATTTGGGGGAAAATAATTGACTTCTCAGAGCAGCAAGGAAGGCAGGGCTGGCTTGTCCCACAAGAATAGGATAAAGGTAGCTGAAGACAAGATGCCACTGCTAGTTCTGGTCGAGGTCTTCTTCTCTTGAAAAGCTTTTGACCCAGAAGTCTTGGTTTCTTCCACAAGGAACCAGACTACAGTCTGTCCCATTCAACTATCTGCCCATCATGTGACTGACTCCTGACCTAATCTAAGGGTGTCTTGGGCCAAAAGCTGACAAACACAAGGGACCGCAGCTTCCATGTCTGTCTGCCCCTGGCTCCCTGGGATAGACCATGCAGCTCAGTCTTTGGGGGTAGATGCCCTTCCTGCTAGCCATCTGCTTTGCCATGGGAAGGACACGGGTGTCAGTGCCGGTGTCACTCTGGGTGGTTTCAACAAATCAGTGGTGACTTGGCCAGGCTTTGCCCCATCCACCATTTAGACATCCAAACCACTATGCCCTGTGCTACACCTCCTGGGCTGCCGTTAAACCAGTCAGAATTCACCCACAATCTTCAAGTCCAAGAACAGAAGGGGTCACATGGCGAGGCTGGTAAATGAGTCCCCCAGCATGGCAACTGCTAGGGCACTGCTATGGCTCTAGGGGCAGGTAGGTTGGTTTGCAGTGTGGAACTACTAAGTGACAGTTTCTGTTCTCCATTGACTCTGAACCCATTTGGGTGAGGGGAAGAGTAGGGAAGTATGAGAGGAGAGCAGCTTGGGTTGCACCCCTCTTCCCTCCCTGCTCAGCTCTGGCCCTGCACCCCATGACTGGTTCCAGGACCTCCGTTCTGTACCTTTCGTGACCTCTGCTGTTGCCAGTGCCCGGATCCCTCGCCACCCTCTGGACTCCTGTAAGAGGCATGTTAGGGGCTGCATCACGTTCCTGCAGGTGATGCAGGGAGGGGGCTGTGTGTGACAGAGGCCTTAAAAGGTCCCCAGGGCCCCGAGAGGTGATCCAGTATGGCCAGGTCCTTAGAAGAAGAGATTAGGACACAGGCATATACCAAAGAGAGCATGAAAAGACACAGGGGACCAGGGCTGTCTGGGAGCCAAGCACACAGGCTTCGGGAGAAGCCGCCCTGCTGATCCCTGCTCTCCGGCTTCCCGCCTCCAGAACTGTGAGGAAGCAAACTCTCATTGTCAAAGCTGCTGTCTGTGGGTGCCCTGGAAAACACAGCCCCTGTGACAGGCAGCTTTGACCTGAAGCTGTCCAAGGAGCCCTGAAGGTGCTGTCTTTCCTTCCTGACTGCACTGTGTACTGGATAGTACCGATGGCCTCCTGACGACCGTTCTTCAGCCCCAATGTACCTACCTCGGTGTTCTAAGTTATTGGTCAAAGTTTATATCATGGGATCAAACCAGGGCTTCTCACATGCTGGGCAAACACTCAGCACTGAGCTCCATCCTTGTCCTTTTCATCTTACTTGGAGACAGGGTCACCCAGGCTGGGCTGGCATTTGCAATCCTCCTGCCTTGGCCTCCGAGCATCTGGGATTACAGGTGTGCACCACCACACTGGCTTGTACTGTGGATTTTTTTTTTAATTGAAATACTGCGGGACTCATTTTCACCACAAAGTCCTTCAATCTAAAAGGTCTGTAATGGAACAGCCCGGTGGAAGCCAGTTCTGTACCAGGTAGAGAACCTCCTCATTACTATAAAGTCCTTTCCCGTGTTCAGATCAGCTTGGCTTCGGGAACCTGGATGGGGAGTGGCTGTCGCCCAGGGTGCTCTGGAGCTGCTGCTCGAAGGTTTCAGCTGCCGCTCCGGGTGGTGGGGGTCCCACAAACAGATGAGAAGGCCAAGCACGATGAGCTGGGGCTCCTAGAGGTGAACTGGGACTCAGGGACATCTGGAGAGGAAGAAGGTATCATTAAAGGGAGGTTACTTAAACATCAAAGGAAGCATCCTAATTACACTTCTTGCAACAATATAAAACAACTTTATGAAATCACAGGGCTGATGGGCCTTACTGAGATTTCCCAATCCTCCTCCCTCCGCAGCATGCAATCTTCACCTTGCACTAGGGATAAATTCTTCCATCTCCAAAGCACACTCATCGAAGCTGTTTCATTTGAACCTCAAGCAATCACCCGAGGTGTGTAGGCAGGAAGAGAGTGGTACTCTTCACCTGACAAATAGATGCCACTGAAGGACAGGCCCTGCAGTGACAGCCCAAGCTCACACAGCTGAGATGTCGCAGTTGCACAAAGGTACACACATACACACTCACATGCACACGCACCCCAGACTCACAGCGAGAAACGATTGCTCCTCGGTGCCAGCTGGCCGCGTCCAGGAAAGGAAAGAGAGAAGAGCGGGGAGAGAAGAAACAGAAATGATAGGAGCTGGGCTTGCAGGGAGAGAAGGCGAAGGGCGTCTTCCACTTGGCCCTGCCTGGCTCCCACCGTGTGGTGAGACCTCAGAGGATTGGCAGAGTGGACCCCAGTCTCCTGTGGATACAACCCCCACTCCCACCCCGCCAGCTCTTCCTCTGCTGGGAGGCGAGTTCCAATCTCATCAAGTCTCCTGTCACATCTCTGCTGCCCTGACGGTTCTATCTGAATTTCCTCTGGATGTGGGCAAAGCCCTCAGTTGACTTTCATGGCCTCAGACTTGGCATCAGCCCATGACTGCTGTTTCTTGCGCCTTCCTCCCGGTCATTCCTGTCCCTTAATAATGGGGCTGCATCACACAGGTGGGTCCCGCCCTCCCACACACCTGCCCAAGATGCTCCTGGCAGAGGCCCACCTTTTCCCAGAAGCTTGAATGCCTCATCCTCCGGGGTTTCTCTGTCCCTGAGGCCCTAACCATTGAAGTCTCTGGACATCACACTGACCATCCAGCACCCCGTGGATGCTACTGTTCACACCTGAATGTCCACTCCGTCTCCTATGAGACGGCGAGCTCCCTGGGAGCAAACCTGGAATCCTTTACTTCACTGACTACAGGTGCCTGCTGTAGGAGGTCCCTACCTGCGTGGCTCATGGTGATTTTGTCTTGGAAAAAAGTGGCCAAAAATGGTGTTAAATTATCAAGAGGATAAACTGCACATGGAATAATCCCGATACTTGGGAGGGTGAAGCAGGAGAATTGCTTTGAATTTGAGGCCAGCCTAAACTACATAGTGAGACCCTGCTTCAAACAAAACAAAACAAAACAAAACGCCTAACAAAACAGTTCCAAACCTGGGAAGTAAAAGGGAAACTGGGAGTAAATAATCGTTGCTCATGTAAGGATTTCAGCGTTAAGATCCCACGGAATAAGCATTTTCAGTGCACTGGGAGACCTAAGGCGAATTGAAGAAAGAGCCTGGCTCCCGGGGCAGCAAGCACAGGCCACAGCCCTGGAGACCTAATCCGCCAGCAGCAGAGCTCTCTGCCTAGGGGACCCTGCCCCCTTCCCCCGAGCCCGCGGCCCAGGCCCAGGCAGGCCCGGCTGCTGTCCATTGCCCAGGGGACCCTCCCCTCCTGGAGCCGTGCGCACCCGGCGGCCCGCTGTCTGCTCCTGCTGACCCCTCTGCCTGCGCTGGGAGCGAGCTCTCCGGGGCAGCGGGAAACAAACCCGCGGGTCAGGAGCACAGCAGGCGGCCGAGGTCGCGGCCAGGCTCGGCTGAACCGCGGATCCCTGCGCCTCCGGGAACGCCCCCTCTCGGCCACCGGGCGCGCCTGGCTCAGGGCCTCGCGTCCGTCCTGTAGCCCCTCGGCGATGTCTCCGTTTTAAAAAGGCAGGTTTGGTTTCTTTCTTTTTTGGCATCGGTTACTTTCCTACATATTTCAACATTCAATTCAATTCAATTTATAAAATCCCTGATTTCTTCCCTCCAAGGCCCCATCCTCTTGGGTGCCAGGCAACGAGGGTTACCCTCTTTCCACTAGGTACGAGCCGGTTCACAACAGCGCACGTGCTGCAGGCGCCCCTCTCCTTTTTCACACAGTTAAGCGGAGCGTGAACACCACGCTGTTTATTCAGTCTGTGCTTGAGGGAGCGTGTGTGTGTGCACGTGTGCGTGCACGTGCGTGTGTGCACGTGTGCAAGCATGCGCATGCGTTTTTTCCACGGTTCATTTACAGATGCACTGTGCTGACATGCAGCTGTGGTCCACGCTCTGCTCTCACAGACAGTGCCTGAGCCAGCGAGTGTCCGATGCTGGCGCTAAGCCCTCTGTCCGTTGTCTGTCCTCTTGGATCGGACCGTGCAGCACTCTTGGCACACACAGCAGCCTGTCCTGCACCGGGCCATGCACACTGTCCTCCTGCTTTCCATCAGTACAGGTTGGTGGTGCGTAAAGTTTGGGTTCTTCTCGCGGAGTAGATACACACAAAGAACACGGTCGGTTTCTTTTTTGTTAAATCCTCTTCAGGCCTCGCATCTCCCAACTCCTCTAAATCCCCTTTCCCTGTGTTCATGCTTGTTCTTTTCTTTTCTTGGTACTCACCACCTCATGCTTGCCAGGCAGCTTAGGCTTAATTCAGTTTAGTTTAGCTTAGGCTGCTGAACTAAATCCCAGGCCCCATGCTTGATAGGAATCTCAGCTCATGTTCTGGTGCGCTTCCGTTCATGAAAATCATTAGGTTCCTGCACCGGACACATCTGTACTCCCCTTTCCTTGACCTCTCTCCTGACCCTCGGTCTCCTGAGTGCTTCTCCTTGCTTCCTTTGGTCCATCCTTTATTATGTTCTGTGTATTTTGCCTCACTCCAATGACAGATACTAAGCTGGTATGTCCCATTTAGTCCACCCAACATTGTATTTTCCAGGTGCGTCCACTTCCCTGCAAATGTCTCAAACTGGTCCTTCTTTATAGCCCAGTAATATTCCATTATGAATAGGTACCACATTTTCTTTATCCATTTTGTCTATTGATGGGTATATGGACTCCTTCCAGGACTTAGCTGCTTTAAATTGTGCTGATATAAGCGCGGGATATATCATGTATCACTGTAGTACCATGTTTTAGCTGTACTGGGAGGATATCTAGCAGGGAAATAGTGGGGTCATATGGAATTTCTAATCTCCGTTCTTTGAGAAAGTGCCATTCTAATTTCTGTAGTGGTTGTACTAGTTCACATTCCCAGCAACAATGTAGGAGAATTCCTTTTCCACTGCAGCCAGCCAGCATTTGTTATTTTTTGGCTTCTTAGTGATGACATTCTTTTTTGTATAAGATGGAGTCTTAGAATTGTTTTAATTTGCATTTCTCTAATGGTCAGCAATCTTGAACATTTCTTCCGATATCTGCTGGCCATTTGTACTCTCTTTTCTTTGGGGGGGGGGTCTTTCTGTGTAATTCAGGCTGCCCTTGAACTGACTATGTAATCTTCCTGCCTCAGCCTCCAGAGTGCTGGGATTACAAGTGTGCACCTCCACACCCAGGTCTGTACTTTCTCATCTGAGAAGTGTCTGTTCTTGCTTATTTCTTGAGTGAGTCTTTTATTTTAGGTGCTTTATTTGTGTGTGTGTGTTCTTTATGTATTCTAGATTTTGTCTTCTGTCTGAGGTATAGCTGTAGGTTTTCTCTTCACCCTACTAATTGATTCCTTTGCTGTGCAGAAGCTATTTAATTTGACGTAATTACATTTGTTATTTCTTGTGCAACCTGGGGCCTGTTTGCAAAATCCTTTCTTATCACCTATGACTTCAAGCATTTTACCTATCTTCGATAGGTTCAATATTTCTGTTTTAATGCTTAGCTCCTTAATCCATTTTGATTTTAGTTTAGGACATGGTGACAGATATGGGTCTAGTTTTATTCTTCTGCAAACAGTTTTCCTGTTTTTAATACCATCTTCTGAATAGGCTATCTTTCCTCCAACATAGAACCAGATCATTTAAAGATACTTTCATCATCAGTTGAACTATATATTTTCCCTACATATTTAGGGACAGTTTATATTCTTCTTTTTATAGAGATATTATCCCTACATATTGTTATTGTGTCTTTCTTTCCTTTTTTTTGAGACAGGGTCTTGCTATGTAATTCAGGCTGACCTTGAACTCACTACACAGCCCAGGCTGGCCTTGAACTCTCAGCATTCCTCCTGCCTCAGCCTCCCAAATGCTAGGATTACAAGTGTGCGTCATCATACCCGGCCTGTGCCTTCAAACATAAGGAAGTAGGGAAATCTGTAGCCATGCTTTTTGACACTGGCATTCCTGGAATTCTGGAGTCCTGTTTTGGGCCTGTTTCCAGGCAGTCTTCCACTGGGAACCCACTTCCCTGGCTTTTCTCCACACAGAGCTCCTGGCTCACAAATTTAGCTCTTTGTGGGTACACGTTCACAGTCTCACGGGTCCCACCAACCTGACGCACGCCGCTGCGTTCAGTCCCGGTAGTGAGTGGCATGGATGTCAGGACGATGCCCACCTCCAAAACCTAGGAGCTGACCTTACTCAGTGTATCATGACGCCCAGCAAGGCAGGCGCTGCATTTTGTCATAGTGCATCCGGGGCCTGCGAGACATTTGTCAAGGGTGTGGGAAACAGACAGATGTTTCCTCCTTCTCTTTCATTTCAGGGAGATTCTAGGGCAGGAATAGAAAGTATCTATTTGCAGGCAGATAGGTACAGAAAAAGGACAGAGAATCCTGAAGAGGCTGCTAAAGCTGAGGGGCCCAAGGAGGTAGGGCTCTCCGGAGACTGAAGCCCAAGAAAACAGAGAAACTGGAAATGCATGAACCCCATCTGGACCTGGGCTTTTTGCTCCATTATTGATTTGTGGGTGTGTTTGTCTCCCATTAAGTTATGAGCAGACACTTGCAAACGATCACAACAACACTGGAAAAACCCAGGGATCAATTATGAGAACTGACCCATCAATAACTACAAATCAATAAATACAGAAACAAGATA